AAAAAAAAAAAAAAAAAAAAAAAAAAAAAAGGAAAAAAAAATAAAAATAAAAATAACTCTCGTCTCTGGAGTTCTGATATTTTATGCAGGTGACTCACTCTTTAGTAAATGACATAGTATTTGAGTGCTCTGGGCACTGACTACAGTGCTTAATTTGATGATGAAACATTTATTTCTGTTCCAGGTGTCTTGTAGGTATTGGGGATGCATCAGACATGGTCCTGGCCATTTATCAATGCATAATCTAGTAAAGGAGTTTGAAATGTATAAATTATGGCATAGTATGATATGCTATATAGACATGTAAAATGTATAACAAGCTCTGTTCAGGGATATTTTGGAAGGTTTCATGAAAGGCAATATTTGGACTATTTTTTGAAAGATACATGAACTATGTTTTCTCTTTTTTATCTTGGCTATTTTGAAACTTCTGACTTTTAATGTTCAACTGTTCGACTTAATGTGTCCTTAGACTGTGTTTTTGGTTTAATAACTCCCATTTAATTTTTTATTTTTACTATATGGCTCTGTTGTATCTTTTTGTGGGGGCATAAACAACAGAAATTTGTTGTCTTACAATTTTGGAGGCTAGAAGTCCAATCTCAGGGTGTCTGCTGGATTGCTTTCTTTTAAGGGCTGTGAAAGAGAATCTATTGCATGCCTCTGGCCTAGTTTCAGGTGGTTTGCTGGCAATCTTTGGCATTCCTTAGCTTATAGAAACATCATCCCAATCTCTGTTTTCGTCTTTACGTGACATTCTCCCTGTATGCGTGTCTGTGTCCAAATTTCTTCTTTTTATAAGGTCGCCAATTGTATTGGATTAGGGCCCACACTAATGATTTCATCTTAACCAATTACATCTGCAGTAACCCTGTACACAAATAAGGTCACATCTGATGTATAGATAGGTCTTAGGACTTTAACATGAATTTTGGGGGTACGCATTTCTACTCCCAACATTTGTGTGGTTTTTAAAAAAGGGAGATAATGCACTTAAAATGCCTAATACATTTGACTCATGATTGGTGCTCCATGCTGCTAGGCCCTCACTTCTCTGGCAGTCACCATTGTTAGTTAACAGTGCTTCAGAGGCAGATGGAGAACTGAGAATGTGGATTTGATCTCTTTAACTCTCCACAGAGACTTTGTCACAAGGACTGGAAGCACGGGGTTTGTCGTCATTAATTACTATTTTCTCACAGTTCTCTTGGACTATTTCCTTAGTTTATGAGCTTTTGAGGGAAGTCCAACCCTTCAAACAGACCAGTATATCCTGTCCAGCCACCTGCTTTGGGTTTGAGTCTTTTGTTCCAGACAGCTTCTGTGGGTTTTATAACACATGGGTAAAATGTTCCAGCCCACCCACCTTTTCATCATTTACATTAAAATTAAAAAAGAAAAGCCTACATGGAAAGTTTCCCTTAATACATCCTGTACAAAGAACGTACGACGTTTCATCAGAAAGAGCAGACTAACTTTTACAAATAAACCAATAAATAGATACAAATGATAACCAGAAAAATAACCGTTATCAGGCACTTAATATCATCCAGGCATGCCAGTATATTGAACTAGTGTTACAATAACCGTGGAAAGTAGATAGTATTATTTCTGTTTTATAGAGGAGTAAACTGAAACTTGGACTAAATATACTGTACTGTCGTGTTTGCTCAAAGTCTGTGCTCATTGCACAATTCAGTAGAGAAAAGGATGGTATTAGTGACTGCTTAGGGGTGTGAAGAGCCTGTTTCATGACCCTGCACCCACTGCAGAGTCATTCAGCGTCTCTGAGTCTCAATTTTCTCATTGGAAAAGTGGAGGCAGTAGTACACCATTTGCATGGGGTGTTTTGTAAAGATTGGATGTGACAATCTATTGTATCTTTTTTTTTTTGTCCTTTTTGAGACCGGTCGCACCGCGCTCAGCCAGTGAGCACTGTGAGCGCACCAGTTATCCCTATATAGGATCCGAACCCGTGGTGGGAGCGCTCCTGCGCTCCCAGCACTGCACTCTCCCAAGTGCTCCACGGGCTCGGCCCCTATTGTATCTTTTTATCAATTTTTAAAAATACTTACTTAAAGAAAGCGTTTAATTGAAAATAAATGTCTGTACAGATGTGCTAATAGATTAGGGGATAGCAACCACGGGCTCGGCCCCTATTGTATCTTTTTATCAATTTTTAAAAATACTTACTTAAAGAAAGGGTTTAATTGAAAATAAATGTCTGTACAGATGTGCTAATAGATTAGGGGATAGCAAAATGTATAAGGTATGTATAATTACAGATAATTTAGATGGGTAGATAGTACAGAAACATGTAAGAATTTAAAGGTTTAGATAGTTGAAGACAGCAGTAAAAGTCAAAAGGAATTACTTTTTTTGTGACATGAATGATATAAACAGCATCTTAAATGGTAGAGGGTTTAACAGCTTGGAATTATTGGGGAATACTTTGTAGAGGAGTGGAAAGAAAAAATAACATTGATGATTACCTTTTGATACTATGCTAGGCACTTTGCATAGGTTACCACAACCCTTTGAGTGAGATGGCGTTGTCTCCTTTTTCAGATGAAGAAATGAGACTTACAGAGTTATTAGCTCAAGATCACATAGCTAATAAGTGGCAAAAGTAGGATTAGAATTCATTGTCTAACTCAAAGAATTTTTTTCTTTTTCATTATGCCTGGGTGATGACGAGCATGGATCCAGGTGCGTGTTTAGGAATTGATTGTATCCCAGATTGTAAAGTGTAGGAGACTTTAAGAATATAGTGAATACATCATTGTGACTGGAGGAGAGTTCAATTATTGTAAAGATCTTATACTAGATTTATACTTTTATTATCTTTTACACCATGATCTTCAGTCTTTCGGAAATATTGGTGTATTCAGTTATTTCCCTAGATGAATACCTAGTTGTCTTAAGTCCATTTATCGAATGATCCCCTTTTTTCTCCATTGATTACAAAAAATGCTTTAATTATTTTTAGTAAATTTATTGAGTTGTGCAACTATTAGCATTTTAAAAATAACTTTTAAGATATTATTTCATTGTTTTTCATAACTCTTCATTGAAATTATCACGGTGGATGGTATGATTTTAATTTTATGAATGATGGTATAAAGCATTTTACTTAAGACTTTGTGGCTAGTTAGTGGCAGAGCTGAGACTCAAATCCAGCACCTTTACTTACATATGAGCATGATAGTTGAGAACAGATTGTTGAGGGCTTGCTGATGTAAGGCCATTAAGTTTGGATTTCATCCCTTAGGGGGAGTATCACCAGCATCTTGTTTGTGATGTCCTTGTTGGCAGAGGAAAACTACTCAGCATTTTCAGGTGGGCACTTTTTGTAAAGTGTCTTCTATGGAACTCTGTTCCCTCAAGATGCTCTACGTAGAAAGGGTTCCCTAGTCAAGTAAGTTTGGGAAGTACTCTATCTCCTGTTTGCGTTGTCATAGTTCACATTGTGAATGTAGACTTTGGAATTTCCTGGGTGATATGAAATTTTTTTTTTTTTTACTTCCTCCCCCATCATTTTCCAAGTTTATTGCATCTCAGAAGGCCCTTCATTCATTTACAGGGGACAAGACTGAAGAAGAAGAACATTTATTTAATTGAGCTGTGAGGGTTTTTTGTTTTTGTTTTTTTTTTTTGAAATAGGTTGTTACTGTGTACATTTATCTGTTGATAGATACAGAGTTAACTGCTGACAGATGAAGAAGTTGTGATGCTTTTCTTTAGTTACTGTAAGATGCTTTGGTCCAAAGTTTGAATGTCTCACAATGATTTCAGAACTGAAGGTTTGAAATTTTGTTTCTTGATTTATACTTTCCTGTCTTTTTAAAATTGAAAGGCAGGTTAGTACAGTGGTGAGATTGCTTTTATACCCCAGTTGTACCACTTACTAGCTTTGTGGCTTTGGGCAAGCTATCTAATCTCTTGCTTAACCATAAAATAAAAAGAATATCAATCTTGCCAGAGTTGTTATTCAGGCAGATTCATATCTACAGAATCATTGTTTAGTTGATACTATTCCATAGTGTTTTAGTCTGTTTCTGCTGCTATAAGAAAATACCTGAGACTGGGTAATCTACAAAGAACAGGAATTTGTTTTGCACAGTTCTGGAGGCTGGGCATTCCAAGATCAAGGCACAGACAGGTTTGATGTCTGGTGAGGACTGCTGTCTGCTTCAAGATGGTGCCTTGGTGCTGCCTCCTCACATGGCAGAAGGGGCGAACATCTACCTCCCACTTCTTTTTAAAGGGCACTAATTTTATTCATATGGGCTCTGCCCTCATGACTTAATCACCTTCTAAAAGCCCCACTTCTTAATATTATTTTTGTTTTTTTTGTTTTTTTGGTTTTTTTTGGCAGCTGGCTGGTACAGAGATCAAATCCTGGACCTTGGTGTTATCAGCACCAACTCTAACCATCTGAGCTGACTGGTCAGCCCTCCACTTTTTATACTATGACATTGTTGATTAAGATTCAACATATGAATTTTTGGGGACACATTCAGACACATTTGGGCCATAGCACACAGAGATATGGTGGTTTATACTAATAGAGATGGCAGCAGAGCTTTTATAGAAATAATAAGCTTTATTTAAAGTGAATTTCACATTCTTATTCCATAGAGATGGTATAAGGTTTACTTAAAGTGGATTGCAAAATAAAGGGTTGGAAGATCTGTTCTTGGTAGTAATTAAGGTCATTGACATATCTTATGCTTATGTAATTTAAATTTGAGGCGCCCGCCTTAAGGAGTAAAAGAGAAAAAAGCATACTTGGGAAAAATTATACCTGCCAGAATTAGCAAGAGTGTGTGTCAAGAAATTTGTCAAATTCAACAAATTGAAGCTTAACACCTTAAAAGTTGTAGTTACTGACCAGAAATATGGACAGACTTCTTAGACTTGGAGGAGGTATGCCTGGATTGGGCCAGGGGCCACCTACAGATGCTCCTGCAGTGGACACAGCAGAACAAGTCTATATCTCTTCCTAGGCACTGTTAAAAATGTTAAAACATGGCCGTGCTGGAGTTCCGATGGAAGTTATGGGTCTGATGCTTGGAGAATTTGTTGATGATTACACCGTCAGAGTGATTGATGTGTTTGCTATGCCACAGTCAGGAACAGGTGTCAGTGTGGAGGCAGTTGATCCAGTGTTCCAAGCCAAAATGTTGGATATGTTGAAGCAGACAGGAAGGCCTGAGATGGTTGTTGGTTGGTATCACAGTCACCCTGGCTTTGGTTGTTGGCTTTCTGGTGTGGATATCAACACTCAGCAGAGCTTTGAAGCCTTGTCGGAGAGAGCTGTGGCAGTGGTTGTGGATCCCATTCAGAGTGTAAAAGGAAAGGTTGTTATTGATGCCTTCAGATTGATCAATGCTAATATGATGGTCTTAGGACATGAACCAAGACAAACAACTTCAAATCTGGGTCACTTAAACAAGCCATCTATCCAGGCATTAATTCATGGACTAAACAGACATTATTACTCCATTACTATTAACTATCGGAAAAATGAACTGGAACAGAAGATGTTGCTAAATTTGCATAAAAAGAGTTGGATGGAAGGTTTGACACTTCAAGACTATAGTGAACACTGTAAACACAATGAATCAGTGGTAAAAGAGATGTTGGAATTAGCCAAGAATTATAATAAGGCTGTAGAAGAAGAAGATAAGATGACACCTGAACAGCTGGCAATAAACTATAGTGAACACTGTAAACACAATGAATCAGTGGTAAAAGAGATGTTGGAATTAGCCAAGGATTATAATAAGGCTGTAGAAGAAGAAGATAAGATGACACCCGAACAGCTGGCAATAGAGAATGTTGGCAAGCAGGACCCCAAACATCATTTGGAGGAACATGTGGATGTACTTATGACTTCAAACATTGTCCAGTGTTTAGCAGCTATGTTGGATACCGTCGTATTTAAATAAAGCAATGGAAAAAGCAAAAAATAAATAAATAAATAAATAAATTTGAAAGTACCCTATATGCTTTTTTGTCTTTGAACATCCCATGGGATAGATAGGACATGTGTCTATTATTAATAACTTTTAAAAAGTATTAATATCTTCATGATCTACATAGGATGGAATGATGTATTTTCCTAACTGCTCTGTTTTCTTTCCCTTTCTTAACACGAGATTGTTAACATTTTGGCATATTTATTTAGTCTTATTTTCTGCATGTGTATGTGTAAGCACACATAATTATCGTACCATAAAAATGTGTTCCCTTTTTACTTCACATTGTAAATGGTTATTACACTAAAAAGGACCTTTCTTAACACGAGATTGTTAACATTTTGGCATATTTATTTAGTCTTATTTTCTGCATGTTTATGTGTAAGCACACATAATTATCGTACCATAAAAATGTGTTCCCTTTTTACTTCACATTGTAAATGGTTATTACACTAAAAAAGGAAAAAAAAACTATCTCCTGTTTTCTGTCTATGTACTCTCACACAACACTTCTAAAACTAGATGTGTGGGTTTTTGTTTTCTGCACCAATCAGTTCTACCTGGAGTTAATGAAGACCCCACAGGTTAAGGACTCAGTTCCACATGACTACCCTCCCCCTTCAGATGCCAGTTGCAAGTAGTGGGTACCCAAGTTATCCACTCTTCTAAGTTGGCTACAAATTGGGCGTTTCTACTACCCCTCCTCAGATTTGATAATTTGCTGTGACAGAACTCAGGGAAACACTTAAATTTACTGGTTTGTTATGGAAGATACAGATAAACAGCCATATAGGGTGATGTCTAGAGGGATCCTGAGCACAGGAACTTCTGTTCCTGTGGAGTTGGAGTGCGCCAATCTTCTGGATTGTGGACGTGTTCACCAACCCAGGCTCCTCAAACCTCATAGTTCAGGAATTTTTATGGAGACTTCATCACATCGACATGGTGGATTGACTCAGTCTCCTGCCCCAGTCCCGTCCTTGGAAGACGGGTGGAGGGGAAGTTGAAAGTTCCAAGCTTATAATCATGGCTTTGTTCTTCTGGTGACCAGACCCCATCTAGGAACCCACTAAGAGTCACCTCATTAGAACAGAAGATGCTCATATCACCCAGGAAATTCCAAGAACTTTAAAGACTCTGTGCCAGGAACTGGGGTCGAAGATGAAATATTAGAACAAAAGATGCTCCTAGCACCTGTATCACTTAGGAAATCACGAGGGTTTTAGGAACTCTGTACCAAGAACTGGAGACAAAGACGAAAGAAATATGTATTTCTTTATAATATTATAGACATATAATTATTTGGTCTTCATTATTCTCATTTTCTACAACCTTTTATAATGGAAAATTTTAAATCGATAAAAGTAGAGAAGGCAATATAATAATCCCGTCACCCACCTTCAACAATGAGTGACATTTTGCTAGTCTTATTTTGTCTGTACTCCCAGTTTTTGTTTTATTCTGCTGCAGTATTTTAAATCAATCCTAGACATTAATTACCATGATTTTTAATTATTTCATAATAGTCCTTCAATGGATATATTATGATTTACATAATCATTCCAACGTTGTTAGACCTTTCATGTTGTTTCTAATTTCTTGTTAAGATAATACTTTCAGTATTTGTATATAAATCAGCTTCAACACCTTTGTATATAAAATCTTTACATACTTTTGATTGTTTTCTTCAGTCATATCTGAAGTTGTAATCATAATTTAAAAGAAAGGAACCATTAAAGAAATCTTTCTGTAATTATAAAAGTAACACATTTTCAATATGGACATTTTAAGACATAAATTTAAAAAACAAAGAAGAAAATAAAGATTACCTCAGATTGCTTTCCAAGGAGACCCTCTATGTCTGTCAGCATTTTTTTTTTATTTTGCTTCTTAGTTGGGGGTTGGGGTGGTTCCCAGTTGCTCTGCCTGAAGAAGGGCAAGCCTACTTGCAGTAGCCTGTTTGTAAAATAGTGTGAGGCTTTGTACTTAACTACTAGGAGCTTAGAAAATAGCTGTATGCAAGGAAGTAGCATCTAAAACACGTAGTCTGGTACTTTGTTGATATGTAATGGGTTGCCCTACTAGTTCTACAATCCTTCTATATTATCCCACCCTAAAATTGACAGAGATCTGTAAGTATTCCTGAACTCCATCTCATTGCTACCTCTGCAGAGTTTTTCTCCCTGAATTATGAGTGAGTGTGATACTGCTGGTCTGTTTCAAAAAATGTGTGTGAGAAACAGTCTTGAGAAACTTGCCTCTGTTTACCTTGTGATAATTCACAGGAGAAATTGCAATGATTTATATTCTACTGTCTTTTTGCTAAGTTAAAGAAGGAAAACTTGATAGGGAAACTGGAAATTCAAGTGTGGTTTTTTTCATGTTGTATTTGGTGGCTGTTAGGTGATTAATAAATTTCTATTTCTGTGGGAAAAAATTAGGCAACTTGAGCACTATTGAATAAATTTTAAAGCTGAGCCAATCTTACTTAATCATCCCGCCTTCTGTTATGAATTAGCAAATAAAAATATGTGACAGAAATTTGAGACTTTAAAACTCATTAGGAACACAAATGAAATCAGTGTTTTATCCTCTTAAATAATTTTAAATACTTGAATTTTTCTCTCTTTCAGTTCCTGGAATGGACGGAGGTGCTTTAACTGATACAAGTCTCACAGACTCCTATTTTAGCACCAGCTTTATTGGTGTCAATGGATTTGGAAGCCCTGTAGAAACAAAGTATCCCTTGATTCAGGTATCCTTAGTATGAATTTACATTGCACTGAACAGTGACATTTGTTCCAGGAGTATAGGACATTTAGAATCTTCATTTATTCTTAAGTTTGTTGAGTGGGAGGTGAGATTTTAGGAGGTGATGCAGTAGGTGGGATATAGCTAAGTTAGCTCTTCTGTAGGGTTGGAGTCAGGGAGAGCTTTCAAAGGTGGTAGATGGGGAGGGGGATCACAGTGGAGTATGGAGAGGGTAGATGGAGAGACGTTCCACTCATCTGTTTGTGTTTTGTATGTATAGTAATTAAACTTGATAGTGATGATGGTAATTTTTAATTTTTGAGTGGATCATACATGCATATGTTATAAAAGTTAAATGTTACAAAAGGGTCTCTTTCCCATACCTGCTCACTATCCATCCCATTAATATTCCTAGAAGCAGCTACCATTACTGGTCACCAGATTTCTTTCTGTCCTCTCAAGAGTGTTCTTTGCATATAGAAGTATAATGCTGGTTTTATTTTATTTAATGTTTAAAATGTTAAATTTAAAGTCACAGTACTTGAGGAATGTTTTACATTAAAAATATTTTTGAATTTTTTTTTACCCAGTTCTTTTTAGCTAACTTTTTTTTATTTATCATATTACTTCATGCAATGCTTAGGACATTTTTGTTTACATTGTTTTTGTAGCTTGATACGGCAGAATTTTGTAGAATTGGAATAAAATTGAAAAGTAATCTAGTGTTGTTAATTGGAAAACTGCCATAATAGTAAAGGTGGTGTATTGTCTTTTCTTGTTTTTGTGATGCACTTCTGGATAGCCTTCTCCATAATTGCAGTAGAATATTTAAATGCAGAGGGATTAGTCTTTATATTTCAAGTTGGACTGATCTTAAGAGTCTGTGGGAAGCCAATGCTTTTCTGAATTATTTTTACTTTTATTTATGTAAAAGCTGAGGTTTCATGTAGATGTTTATCCTAAAGATCATTTGAAATGTAAGCATTTATATAAACATGGGCAGCACACATAAATGGTTCATTTTTTATGAGCAGATTAACTCATCTGATGTGTAGTTTATAACTTCTTTTGACTGCCTGTGAGCCACAATTTCAGGTATTTTTATATACAGAAGTTTCTCCTTTTATGTGGTTTTGCTTTCATTGGTTTCAATTGCCCCTGGTCACCTGCAGTCTGAAAATATTAAATGGAAAATTCCAGAAATAAACAGTTAATAAGTTTTAAATTATGCGCCATTCTCAGTGGTGTGATGAAATCTTGCACCATCCTACTCCATCTTAGGATGTAATCCCTTTGTCCAGCATATACATGTGGAACCCACCTGTTAGCAACCATCTTGGTTATAAGATTGAAAAAATCTTATATAGGGTTTGTTACTATGCACGGTTTCAGGCATCTACTGGGAGTCTTGGACCATATCCCTCACAGATAGGGGAGGTGTGACTACTGTATATTTTTGTATTAAAATTACATCAAGAATTTAGCCCTGCTCCTCTGCTTTTTAATTATGCAGTAATTGAGTAAGTTGAGTGACCACGTTAAGGATTATAGAATTAAACCCAGAGCTGGGAATTCCTAATTTATACTTTTCAAGGCATTGAGTTATATGTCATATATGAGATAAGGATTTGTGGACGTGGATGAAGGGCCTTCCATACCCCAAATCCTTATAGATATAGGCGATGGAGTGAGTCAAGAAAGCATAGGACATGTTTAGAGATCAGAATATAGCCCAATTTTATAAGTTCTTTAAGGCCTATTAAGGATAATATGAATTGAGAGAGGGTATAAGAGCATTTTTTGACTTTATATTTTATGGACAAGGAAACAGTACTTATGTGTCTTGCCCAGGCTAATAAGTTAGGAAAGTGCAATTCAAAATAGATTTGCAACTTTGGTTTTAAATACCCGGCTTGTGATTAAAATTTTAATTTGGTGTGTTGCAAGGAGTCTTTGGAAGTTTTTGCATAGATAGTTATAATACAAGCAACAACATTTATAGGAAGATTAGTTTGTCAGTGATGTGAAAGATAGATTGGAGGAGAAGCAACAAAGAGGGTCAGTCTTAATTGGTTGAATACTTGTAATTCTGTATTCCTTGTTGATGTGATGTATACATATTTTATTTTCCAGAGAATGACTAACAGTAGCAGCTCCCCAAGCCTTCTAAATGACAGTGCCAAGCCATATGCAGGCCATGGTAAGACCTGGTCCTTTTCGTTTGTGTGTGTGTATGTGTATTTCTGACTCTACAAACAACATACCTATTGTAGAAATTTTGAAAATTGTAAACAAATAGAAAGAAGAAAATAAAAATTACCTTCCCATTATTCCTGTTAGTTAATCCCACTATTAAGATTTAGAACCCTCCTTTTTTCTCTATACGTGAATATGTGTATATTAATACTTAATTATAGTCACATTGAACATACTTGTAAATTAATCGTGTGTGCTAAGTCTATTGATACAAAATTTCCAGATATCTTTTTATATTCTATTTTAAAAATAAATGTTCAAGGATGGTTTTTATAAGATATGCAACAATTGAGTGTTAATACTCTGTATCAGCAAGATGTTAACAACTATTAATAATGGTGAGAATAAGAATATGATGTTGATTATTATCTGTGATAAACATTTTGTGTTTATCAAATTTCCATCACTATTTGGAAATTTCAACCTTTATTATTGAATAAAATTATTAAAAACTAATTTGTAGCATCATATATTTTTAGTATTATTACAGAGTTTAAATGCCAATGTTTAAGTGCCTTAAATGCATACATTACACTATTTGGAAATTTCAACCTTTATTATTGAATAAAATTATTAAAAACTAATTTGTAGCATTATATATTTTTAGTATTATTACAGAGTTTAAATGCCAATGTTTAAGTGCCTTAAATGCATACATTGTATAAAAATATTGTATGTCTTGCTATTTTATTAGCATCTTTCTCTTTGAATTATTAGTTATTTAATATTAAATTAATATTAATTCTAATGAAGAACTAGACTGTGAAAATCCAGGTTGAAGAAGGCAGAGCAATTAAGCAGTAGTCTATATGTATTGCATTATGAAGCAATTTAAGGTTCCTTTAAATTAGGGTACTTAATATACAGGAACTTCAAAAAGTTTGTGGAAAAATAGAATTAAAAGATAATACAGGGCCGAGCCCGTGGCGCACTCGGGAAGGTGCGGCGCTGGGAGCGCAGCAGCCGCGGGTTCGGATCCTATATAGGGATGGCCGGGGTGCTCACTGGCTGAGCGCGGTGCAACCGGTCTCAAAAAGGACAAAAAAAACCCCCCAAAAACCAAAAAAACATAATTATCTTATCTTCTTAGTAAGAATATCAAATATCTGGATATGAATTAAAGATGCTTTTAGGAAAGATATGATCAGAGGGTAGTATAAAAAAAGATTTATATAAAAAAGATTTCCTCAAAGGTTCTCATAAATTGGAATATTTAGTTTCTAAATCTATATGTTAGAAGTGGAATAAAGTTGGATACAAGCCAGAACCATTGACAGTTGTGAGAGGACAACAGACAAAGCCTGTCAATATGGAAGTAAGCAGTAAAATGGTGAAAAGCAGATACAACCTGGAAATCAAGTTATCTGGAGCTCTTTAGGGGAATATAGAAAACCCTTAAGTTATCTTAGGCATTCCCCTAATGGCTTTTTCTCATTTTAAAAATAATAATCAGTTAACTGCAATAAGTAGTATTTCTGATATAGGAGTAGAAAGTAAAGCTGGAATGGTAAACGTATACTTAAAAGTTCCTAATGTGAGGGGTTGGTGGAATGTGTTTTAAAGTTGTAATATACGATTTAGAGCTACTGACATTTATTTTTGAGAAAATAGTAAAAGTCCTTAGGATTGGAAAAGGGAAGATACAGTGCCTATTCTTTTTAAAATTTATTTTAAAGGAAAATAATGGAAGAAAATGTTACTACAAATGTTACCTCAATATTTGAAGAGATATTAGAATATGTACTAATGGAAGCAGACTAATGTAGTGAAATGAGCACTCTGCTGTCATTTTGAGATCATGGATTTCTAACTTTGTGATATGGGGCCAACTTTCTAGGCTGTAATCTTCCCATCTGTGAGATGGTGAACATGGCCTGGGTAGTTGCTGTGGTGTCTTTCATATCTAAAACTGAATGTCTTTCTAAACTGAAAGCATCCACATTTCAATTTCTACCTAGAAATTCATGGTTCATATATTCATGTAGCGTTGAAGGACCATATTTTCTTGTCATTTATATTTGAAATAATATGTAGTCTGGGGACATGGAGAGTTTTTCCAGTAGTGGGCTATATAGTTAGAAATCTATGTGGGTACAGGTTGCATATATTTTTAAATTGTTAGTGGTTGAGTTGATAAGGTTTAAAATCTCTTTGTATTAGAAATACTCTTGGCATAAGAGTATTGCAAGTTACACATTGTGAATTGAAGGCATATGGAGATTTTGCCTATTTTTCTTTTGTTGTAGTAATTCATAATGTCTGTTTAATGATGTAATTTTAGTGGAAGTAACTCAAAATTATGTAGGTATTTAATTATAATTCCAGGGTTATCTAAGCAGGCTAACATGATTACTCAGTAACATTTTATTTTATAATGATACTGAAGAATAGGTAGTTAGGCCATACTTACTACTGTTTCATACCTAGTGAGGTAAATCATTTTCTAAAAGGCTCAGGCCAGTCTCCCTGGGCCAGGTATGCTGATTTTTGCCTTTGGGGTTATATGATTTATAGGGATCAGATCAGTCAAGTATCTTTACTATAGGCAGTTTTAATATGTGCTGTGTGGAAGATCGAAAAGAAAGGCTTGATGTTTTTCCTGCTTCTCTCAAATCTAATTGGAGAGGCAATACATGAATCTACTAGAGAACATTACACAGCAGCATATTAATTAGCGTCAATTTAAATATCTGATGATTGCTAGGTAGCAGAGAATTGTCTAGATTCAGAAGAATTTATGGAGAAAAGATGTTTTGGGTTGGGTTTTTTGAGGGTAAAGAACATGGAGAAGCAAAGATACCTAGGCAGAAGGTATGCTTGGTTACAAGTAATAGAGGTAGGAGCTTCAGTAAACTGTTTAATTCTCTTCTTTTCTGAATATCATAGATAAGCTAAGAAAATATGGCTGGGGGTATCTTTAGGAACTTGTTGAAATAAAGTATGGACTGTGAAAACTACATTGCTGGTCATCTGGGCTGTATTGTATTATTGCTGCTAGAGAAACTTTCTGAAGAGTTATGTACTGAGAATATATATCCTAGGGTGCTACTTCTCACAGTGTGTCATAGGTTAAGTTCTGCATTTCTAACAAGTTCCCAGGGTATGCTGATACTGCTGGTCTGAGAACAGACTTTGAGGAAAAAGGTCTTAGAAGTTCAAATAAGATCAAAAACAGTTCTGAATTTGAGATAGACAGTGAGAGAGAGATAGAGAGAGAGAGAGAGAGAACCAAAGCTACTATTGGACCACTACAGCTATAGTAGCTGAACTGTGAATAACGATGAATAGGATTCCATAAAGGACACCGCACAGGTGCTAAGAAATTTCTCTCTGATGCTCTTCCTCCCCCCACATTTTTATAAAATATCCCAGCCACATGAAATTATCTGAGTGACTATGTCCTGACTACTTGAACAAGTCTAACTAAAGATGCCATCTTGCTGGTCCTGGTCAGCTGGATTGAAGTTCAGCAATAGTAATAGTAATAATTCACACTATTATTAGAGATGCAGAAAAGGTTGGACTAGTTTTTAAGAATAACTTTACTGAAATTAGAATTTTTTTTTTCCTTTTTGTCTTTTTTCGTGACCGGTAACAGGATCGCAACCCTCGGTGTCGCGCCCGTACTGCGACTGGCAACGGGATCGCAACCCTCGGTGTCGCATCCGCACCACGCTCAACCAGTGAGCGGACAGGTCTCTATATGGGATCTGAACCCTGGCGGGAGCGCCGCCACACTCCCAAGCACCGCACTCTACCGAGTGCACCACTGGGCCAGCCCCAGAAAAAATTTTTAAAGTGACCTTTTATATTGATGTTTGAGAAGCATCAGTTATTTTTTCGTTTTATTTTCCACATTTGGAATGCATAATTTTAAATTAAAAAAGCAGCCATTGTTTGAAAATGTGTATAATTATTCTTGGCCAACGTTGGTGGTAGAAGAAATTGAATTATGTCTTTATATTCTGTGGAAGAGTTGAGTCTCCCAAACACTAGAGATGACTTTGAGTTTTGTTAAAAATGGGAGTTAATATATTAGAGATTAAAACATTAGGAAACCTTAATAACAAGATAGATACAATTAAAGTCGAGCACTGGTATGAAAAGAAAAAGACTTGGGAGTTGCTGTGAATCACAAATGTGATCTAGACAAGCAGTAAAATTTTTGGTAACAAATCCTTTGGGAACAAAGTATCTTTAAAACGAAGTTAGATGTTGAAATACAGATATTAATAAGTGAAGGGGTTTCAGTGCTATGATATCTTGCTACTGATTCTTGCCAAACTGTGAGTTTTTATGCAGGGTGAGTGACAACATATGATTGAGACAAATCCTAGGCAAAATGAGAAGTCTTCAAAATTTGTGCCTAGCATTCTTGGCTTCTTGCTCTTTTATAGCTTTCTGAGCTATTGCCCCTCAACACCGTTTTTTAATTCAGCTGGTCATCTTGCGGTTCAGCTTTCCCCTCCGTTGTTTCAGTCATGATGCAGCTTTACCTGGGCATTTACATTATATTTCTAAGGGTGGGATAACAGATTTTCACTTTTGTAAATATTTTTAGGTTTTTATAAGTTAAATTATTTGGGGTTAGGAGGCAAAGATATCTGAAGTATGTTTATTTCTTCTGTTCTTGGTTTTAAAGCTTTGTTAGGATGAGGGAAGTAGGATCAGAGTAGGGTGTCTCATCTGCTGTGAGGAGATGTGGTTGCTGGAGGTCTAGTTCAGGATAATTCTGCTTGAGAGAAAAGTTCACTAGCAGTACTTTCTCTGCTTTTTTCCTTGTTTTAACCCAGTTTGGGTCCCCCTTTGTACTGTTCTTTATCTTAAGAGCATCTGTCCCTCTCTATCTCTATTACAATTACTTACTGGTAACATTTTATATTTTTTGATTAATTTGACATTTAAAGTTTTTCTTGTAGCATATCTGTTCCAAAGTCTTTGAAAGATCACATTATTGCTACTCTAGGCTTGATTAATTTGACATTTAAAGTTTTTCTTGTAGCATATCTGTTCCAAAGTCTTTGAAAGATAACTTTTACATTATTGCTACTCTAGGCAAAAAAAAAAAAAGGGAATAATAATAACAATATTTACTGTAGAGTTCTTTTATGGAGAAGGATGAAGCAAATTTGGAGAAATTAATAGGATTATAGCATAGACAATTTAGAATATAAATCCTGTCTTAATCTTACTGGTTGGTCGGCCCTTTTGAAACATCAAACTAAGTATTGATCTCAGGAAAAATAAAAAAGATGAGAAAATGGAGAAGTTATTGAAAAATAACTAAAATTTTAAAGGCAGTGACCATCTAAAACTCCATGTGTAAAACGATTGTTTTTAAGTTCTTTATATATGTTCTCAAAGAAATAATGTTTTGCTTGGTATTTAGATTTCCAGTCAGCCACATCAGTATCTTTTACCCATGAATATTGTATAGTTATGTTTCTATGGAATATTGTGTTTAGAATTCCAAATTAATACATTTAGAGCTATTTTTCCTTTACTGGAGTCACTGAACTTCCATTCACTTCCACTTGCCTATCTGTGGGAAGTGTTCTATCCCAGCCTAAGCCAGATGTGGGTGAGTTTTTAGGCTAAGAGTTACATATGGGCCCCTCACTGGAAACTGGTGGAGTTGTTGGAGTTCAGGTTCCTAGGCAGGGAAGCATCCATCCGTGCATGGTTTCTGTTTATAGCTTGCTCAGAACCTCTTGGTGAATTTTTATTCTCTCAAAGAGCAAACAGTAGTAATAGTAATAACCTGGTAGTATTGAATAATGGTTAAGATTTTAGGGTTTGGAGTTGGATGCCAGGCACTTGAAATTAAATCCCTGTTTCTTCACTGATTGTCTTTTTGTCTTTAACTTAGTTAACTTTTTTGTTTCTTCATTTGCAAAATGAGAATAATAATACTTAGTACCTGCTATGTAGAGGTGTTTTGAGGACTAAATGGGATATGTTGTCTGGCACAGAAGTACCCAATAAATGGTAGCTGTTTTTGGTAGTATATAATACACTGTGTTGTCCAAACGTTTCTAGGCTTGTTTAGAAATTGCTAACTATTAAGTAAATAAGTATCTCTTGCTACTCACTCTGGACTGGGCTGTATGAAAACTGCCCACTGGTAAAATGGTCCTGTAGCTGCTCTGAGGATATCCACCTTTTCTTTGAGGTATTCAGGCCCCCTTCCTCTTCCAATATTAATATTTTGCCTTCCTCCACACAGAAGCCTCCTCCTGTTAGCCTTTCAAACATATCCTCCAGATTAGGAAAATCCATCTGGGATTTTCTTGTGATGTAGTGGCATACAAATAGAAACTTGATTTTATCTATATTGGTGATGGTTTCCTGTATCAGTTCTAGGTAATATAGGAAAGTTAGATTATTCTTTTATCAATTAAATGTTTTATATTTTATTATATCATTTAGTCACCCCAACAATTCTTTGAGGTATTTTTTTCCATTTTGGGAAATAGAAGTTTTGAGAGATCAAGTAATTTACATAGAATAATATAGATAATTATTTACATTTCAGAGGAAAGCAAAAATCTCTCTGTATAGGGCAATATGAGAAGGGTAAGAAGACTGAGTCTTCTATAAGGTGAAAAATGGGGAGAGAGTGGCGAGAGGCCACTGGTGATGTGGAGTGAAGGGGATAAAACATTGATTAACTTTATGTCTGCTGGTTTTTCCACTTTGCGATTATCTCTATGTAAATTTCTATCAACGCAATTTCTTGGGCAAGAATACCCATCTAAACTTTTGGTAATTTGACAGGACAACCTTTCATAAATGCTGCACAAATTTATATTCCTACTTATAGGTGCCGACTTTCTACGGTCTTGAAAACTGGGATACAAAAATCTTTTGTATCTTTGTAATTTTATAGGCCAAAAAACCTCCTTTAAATTTGATTACTGGTGCTGTTGAATTTCTCTTTTATGTTTATTCACCATTGGTGTTTCATGTCCTTTGCTTATTTTTCTCTTGGACTATTCCTTTTTTAATTCATTATAAGAGTTCTTTGAATATTAGAGATTTGAACCTCTTCTATCAGATGTTGCAATCTCTTCCCCCCAATTTTGTTTTTTGGTCTTGAATTTCACAACTAATTTTCAGTTTTGAAATGTCATGCTTACTCTGATTATCATGTGTTAAGTACATTAAAAAATAACAAAATATTAAGCTCATTTTTGTTAAAATAACATGGTAATCCCCAATCTGATGAGTTGGTAATTTTGAATACAAAGGGCTGTCATTGTTTTTATATTATTAATTTGAGTACACTGTCATTTTTATTGCTAATGATCTATAGTAATCCACTTCTCCTAGTAAATGTCTTAGTGTATTCTCTCCTCTTGTTTTTAGTGGCAGACTTAAATGTTCTTCCTGTTGTTAATCTCTAGTTTCAGTCTATTCTTTTAAAATATGCAGGTGACATTAGATTGAAATGTTTAAAAATATGATAGTTCTTACAGAAAAAGACTCAACTTTGAAAAAGTTAATTTTCTTTTTTCCCCAAAGTAAAGAGTACACCAGGTTAACTTTCCAGGACTGTGTCGAGATAAAGATGTGCTTTGGAAAGCTCAGATTAAATTTTGTTGTAACAAATGAGGGGTTCAGCCACATACTTTTTGTACTTAATTTGTACTCTGCGTGCACTTGTTTTTTTTAAGTCAAGAAAGATTCCTCCAAATTCATGATTGTAAGGAAATTTTGTTCTATTGATTGATTTAAAAAGGAGCTCTTGTGAGAGATTTTGTTTTGGAAACTTTTCTTTAGGTATGCATAATGGTATGGTGTTCAGCAGT